TATAAAATTATTATAAATTTTATTTTTTGGTTAATTTGAAAATGATAAATAATAAAAATAATAAAAATAATTTGAATTTGAATTTTTTTAATAATTTTTAGGCCGACGAGGCAATGACATTACGTGTTGACTAACGGTCAATGGTTTTGACGGTCCAAATTGACGGTCAAACCATGTGTCGTGCCAATTGAGTCTATATGTTGCATAATTGAGGTCATGATGTTAATTTTTTAAACCACGAGCCAAAGTTGGTTATATGGGCATCGTTCGGGCCAAAATAAGGTATTAACCCAAAAAATTATACAAAATAGTATATGTACAATCTGAAATTGTACCATAACATGTTGTACCATAAATTCAAAAACCTAAAACAATGAAACCAATGTTGTATCTATATAGCATTGTAAAATTCCTCCTCTAATCTCCATGCATGCACAGAGTCACAGTAATTAAGTTTTAGGCAGCCAGTGACTGCAACAACTGCAGCATGCATTTATTTCACAGTGAAATTCACAGAGAAGCCGGGGCTAAGCCCTGCAACCAGCTGGCCGGCCGGTGGCCCCTTTGTTCTTAATTCTTATTACCTGCTATATATTTACCTTTGTGTGGTTTAGTCAGCTCTTTTCTACCTTTTCTCTGACGGTACTTGCCCCTATAGAGTACGTATAGATGTTGATCAGTAATAAAAGTTTCTCGTTAGAGATTGAACAGAAGAGAGCCTTTCTATTTTGCTTTTCTCGGCATTTTCCTTCCTCCTATCAGTGAAAGCGAAAGATGAAAGTGGCGCAATACCATTATTTTACCTTTTGTTTTCTTCCCTGCAGCCATGCTGCTGCATTCCCCCGTCCCGTACTCTGAATACGATGGATCTTTCTGAGCGCTCGTTCCCTGATTTGGTGAGGCGGGTTGTTCTCGTCCTTTTCTGCGGCTGCGTTTCAATAAAGAAATATGAAAGGAATGGAGATAAGTACCCTCCATCTCTTCGGAAGGAGAATCTCGTTCTATCCCGCGGGGTGACATTTTACCTCGGTTTTTAGAACTGGAACGGAGGGTGAACCGAAAAAGTTAGAGGGTTAAGGTTCAGTGGTGAACCGTTACAAAACAGTTGGCAAACCGTTGATAGAACCGTTCATGATATACAACTTATAAGACTTGTATATTACACTAATAAGAATTAGGGGTGGCAGTTCGGTTGTCGGTTAGCGGCTAACCGGACGGTTAGACCGATAACCGCTGGTTAGCGGCTAACCGAAAATCGACTGTATACAGTCTCGGTCGGTGGTCGGAGTGGCTGGTAGGAGAGTCGGCTAGCCGAGCAACCGAAATCGACTAGCCGAGTAACCGAGACCAACCGACCCATATAAAACCCGCACCCAAAAATCCACCCCAAACCCTATCCTCCTTCTCCTTCATCGATCTCGACTCCTTCCTTCCCTCACCACCAGCAACCACCCCTCGAATCCACTTCTCCCTGAATCTTCTTCTTCTCCTAAAATTTTCGAATCCCTAAATCTTCTTCTTCACCCATCAACCTTCTATTCCACCCTCACCTCCACAAAGTCACAATCCGTCGGATTTACCGTCAGACTCCTTCTCGTTTCGACGTCGCCGGCGTCCTTCCCAATCGTCGTCGTATCCTTCTTTCCTCGATCGATGGCAGAACCCCAATAGAACCAAAAATAAACTATCAAAACCCAAAATCGAAATTGAACCTCCCAAACCAACATGCAAACAAAAAAAACCTACCTTTGACCTTTTTCTTCGCCGTCGTCATCATCATCGTCGGCGTTGGTGCAACCATCCTCGTCGCCGTCAGGTGGTAAAAGAGGGTTCGTTCCCTCTCCTCTCCTGACCCCTCGCCGATTCCGAAAAGAGAGAGAGACGGAGAGACGGAATGGGAGATGAAACGAGAGGAAGAAGAAGCAAATCGCAGCACCAGCCGCCGCCCTCCGCCTCTGTCCGCCGTCTTCGCGAGGTCGCTCCTCCCTCTCCCGTCGGCGGCAAGCCTCCTTCTCGGCTGCTTCGTTCTTGAATCTTGAGTGGAAAAGAAAGGAGAGAGAAGGATGGAGGAGAGAGACAGAGAAGATAATGAATAAGTGGTGGTGGTGGAGGGTTTGAAAGGAGAGAGACGGAGGAGATAAGGTTCCTGTATTTTTTGATTTTTTTAATTTTTTTAGATTAGGGTATGGTTTTCGGGCATAAGGTTAACCGAACCAAAACCGGCTAACCGACCGGTGGTCGGTTAACCGATGTATATTTCACGGTCGGTGGTCGGTATACGAAGGTGGTCGCTCGGTTTAACCGATAACCGAGAAATCGGTTTTCGGTTAAACCGAAACCGACCGACACCCCTAATAAGAATGAAGTTATCATTGGCCATAAACAATTTCAAATTCATATTATGACCAAAATATCTAATAAATCATTCAAACCCTCTCACAAAAGAAATTATAATTTTTTTATTTCAAATTAAATTACGGTGCTAGTTGGTAGTAGACAACGTAAAACGACAACCAGGTTGGAAAATGAGTAGAGGAAGCAAATATAAAATTAATAATTATGATTTGATGTCTTAGTTTATCTGTTTATGTCAAAAAAATTTAAAATATATTTTTGTTAATATAGTGAACCAGTGGACCAGTTAAACCGTGGTGGTTCATCTGGGTTTATGTTGAGCAGTGAAAAACCGTTTGGTCCATCAATAACCGTCGAAGCAATGAACCGGATCGCTATCGTAACTGATTTGGCGGTTCTACTGGTCCGGCCGTTGATCCGGCTCGGTTCTTATAACAATGTGTTTTACTAATTAGAGGAAATAATTGAGAGCAAGGGCGCGAAAATAATTAAATAAAAAATATGTTGCCTAGGTGGATCAAACTCATGTGCTTTAAAACTCAAATCTAGCTTGGCTACCATTAGACCATATTATATTACATGATAGAATTAATAGAACAAGTTAAACGTATAAAATTTATACTAAATATCCTTAAGATCCTAGGACCGAGACCAATCACGGGGGCGGGGGCCCGGGGCCCACCCTATGTTGAACGTAGCTCCGCCCCTGATTGAGAGGAAATCCAATCCCGAATAATTTGGGAATGGATATGATAAAATTAATAGTTTAGTTCAATTGTTTGATAACAGTCGCGGTACAATATATAACAAATTTCTTAACTTATCTGGGAGATTTCTGGTTGCGAATATCTTAAGTTACATCTAATTAAAAACAAACAAACATATATCTAGAGGTGTTGTCAGTTCGGTTTTGGTTAATAACCATTAATCGATATAACGGTTAGTGGTTAACTAATAACCCGAAATCTCTTTTCGAAAACCGAATTGATAAGCCTTATCGATGCGGTTAGTAGTTAGTTTGACAGTTAATTACACTAACCACCAGCTTACATGATACATCCCAGCTGGTGCAATCATCCCTAATTTAAAATAAATGTACATAATAGTCAAACACAAATCACCTCCAATTAAGTTAAACCAAGTATCATTTTAACCATCAATTCAAATTCGTAAATATAAATCATCGTTCATCGACCATGAAGATCGTCCCCGTGCAAACTATCCAGAAGGTCATGGCCATAACAACATTAAGGTCCTCGTTCTCCTCATCTTGATTGACTTCATCATTAACGTAACAACCTACTTCCATGGGGAACGATTGACTTTTGCACTTAGAGTTGAACTATCTTTCTCAATCTCACTTGTAGTTAGGGCTGGAAGTTTGGTACTGGTATTTGGGATATACCGAATACCGTACCGAATTTGTCTATATTTGGTATTACCGAATACACGAATTATTTTTTGGGATCGGGATTGGGATTGAATTTCATTTGTTATTCGGTATTAGGGATTACGGGATTGGGATCGGTATATACCGAAATACCGATCAATACCGAAATATAAGCTAGTGTGTATTTTATCCTCTCAACTAGACTCTCTCGTTCACTACTATACGACCCTGAACCACCAAAAGTGTCATTTAATTATACATAGATCATTCCATCACTATTAATAGTCGTTTGTCAACCTCCAATTCGTCGAATTAAAGATTACCAATGACAAGAACTTGAGATGTATCCTCTCCTCCATCCTCCTTAATAATATTCTAATTCAAGACTCTTTGTTTAGTCTTTTTCTCTAAATTAAACAATAAAATCTAATTTATTTATTTAATTATTAATTATAAAGGTAATTAATTTCGTATTCGATAATACCGATTGGGATACCGAAGTACCGATTGGGATACCGGTATATTTAGGGATTGGGATTGGGATACCGAAATTATTTAGGGATTGGGATTGGGATTGACTTTAGGGTGTAATTTGGTATTCGGGATTTCGGTATTTGGGATTGGGATACCGATACCGTACCGATTTCCACCCCTACTTGTAGTATCCACCATTCGAATTTGAAAAGTTGTTAACTAGGTATGAAAAGCAAAAATATGGAGTATTAGCATTCATCCATTCAAAACCTAAGAGCAAAGCATAATGAAGTGTTACTGTTACATACCGAATCCTAATAAGCTTTAGAGACAATTAGACAAATATAAATATTACTTAAATCGTCTACCAATAACAATAAAGTTTGTCACTCATAATTATCTGAAGCATGCCGTCGGCTATGAGCTTCTCCCAATCTCCAGCAAACGCCAACGTTTCACATACCCCACGCGCTGTTACCACGGGAAACAAACGTCTCAGTAGTTGAACTTCAAAGTGGACGGCACAATGCTGCTGGTCCATCGCTGTGGGGACTCCCTTTCCATTCCCTTTCTCTCACTTAATCAGAGATACACAAGAAGAAGAAGAAGAAGAAGAAGAAGAAGAAGAAGAGTGAAACCCAACTATAGCCAAAAGTAGCTAGCTTGATTACTTACAGCCAGTGGGAAAAGGGGGAAAAGCAGCTAGCTGATTACTTAATACAGCCAGTGAGAAAAGGGGAAAACTTTTTCAACAGTCAATTTTCCCTAACCATGTTGTGATGTGGAGGAAGCTGGATCCATCCATGGTTTCTCTCGGGCTGTTGATTTTATTCCCTTTCCAATTCATGGGCGAATTACGGGGGAAGCATGGGCCTACTACAACATCTCCACCCTCTGTTTCTTCCCTCAATACAAAATCATGCTACCGAAGAACGATTATCATTGTTGCTATAGTTTAAAGGAGGAGCTCCATATCTATCCCCATACCTTTCTATATTATCGCTGTCAAAATATAACAGCACCAAGGATAAGAAAAAAATCCTCCACTGTCGCATGTGTGAGAGAAGGGAGTGGGTTCAAAAGGGTCCTGCTTTTGTCGGCATCAAAGGGCTCTTCTTTGCTTTCTTGATGGATGGTGGGGAAGCAGTTCAGTAGCTGCTGACATTGAAGAAATTATGGAGCTTTTCTTCTTTATTGGTGGAGGGAACCTGCAAAGCTCATGAATGGGTTCCTGCTAATTTGGAGCTGTGGTGGTGGGTTTGGCTCAATCATTTTCACTGTAGTTGATTTCTTCGAGCTTGGATTTTCAGCAGTTTCAGCTCCAATTCAGTGTAGAGGAGGGTAATTGGAGATCTGGGATGAAGAGAAGTTGCAAACGTTTGAGGTTGGATCCCTTTTTTTATGGGCTTCAAGTTTCATTCAGAGCTATAAAGCTTCAGCTTAGTTAAGAGTGAGTGAGTACCCTGTTTCATTTCTGGTTGCAGGATCTGGTGGTGAGGTCGGAATCCTCTATGACTTGTGTCTCAGTGATGGAGTGGAATCACAAGCCTCAATTGCAATGGGACTGGGAGAACCTCATAATGTACAATCCAAATTCTGCAGAGAATTCGAACCCCAAGAAGCTAGATGGTAACTTAGATTGGGAATTCGTTGATGGGGTTAGAGAAGCAGCTGATTCTGGTTCGTTCTTCTCATCTGGAGGCTGCTGCAATGGCAATAACTCTGGTTCCATCTCTGAATTGGGTCTTGCTGCTGGTTCTTCTTTGTCTTCAAAGTCAGCTTCCATCACCACTTCTTCATCCACTGGAGAAGCCAAGCCAATCGACAATACCGGCGAGCCTCTGCTTGGTCTAAAGCTCGGGAAACGAACCTATTTCGAAGATTCAAGCTGCGGGAGCAACTGTAAGGCTGCTGCTGCTAATTTAGCAAAGAGGTCGAAGCCGAATTGTGTCGCTGTGTTCTGCCAGGTGGAAGGGTGCAACCTCGACCTCTCGGCGGCTAAGGATTACCATAAGAAGCATAGAGTTTGTGAAGGGCATTCAAAGTGTCCGAAGGTGGTTGTTGCTGGGATGGAAAGAAGGTTCTGTCAGCAATGCAGCAGGTAAAATTTACTCCAACCATGCTCGTCCTGTGACCTGAGAAATGATCACTTGAATCCATATTTGATTTGTGTGTTTGAATGGGGTTTTTTCATAGGTTCCATAGTTTGTTGGAGTTTGATGAGAAGAAGAGGAGCTGCAGAAAGCGGCTCTCGGATCACAATGCAAGGCGTCGCAAGCCACAGGGGGAGTCTCTTCGTTTCAATCCCTCGAGGATGCACTCCTCCATCTATGGTACTGATTATGACCTTCCATTTCCCTTGAAATGAATTCAATTCCTGTTATAAACCTGACGATGTTTTCGTTTATACAGACGAGAGGGAAAGGATGAGCTTTGGATGGGAAAGTAGCAGGAGTCCACTGGTCCAAGGAAGAACAGGTGGATATTTGTTCTGGGAAGACACCTCCGGTTCCAAGTTCACAATAACAAAGGAGTACTCCTTCAAGCCGACGACGAATCAGCCTGCAATTCGCTCGATGGCTGCCACCCATCATCATGGTTTGTTGCCTGCAAAGGCGAAGGGGATAGCAACGGATGATCCAAGTCAAGGTTAACCGTCTTTTTCCAGCCTTTGAGCCACAATATTACTCTGCCTGTTTTCACAAGTGCTGTAATGCCTAAAATATTTGCTGCAGGAATAGAGGCGGAGGAATCAACCATGTCGCCAAATGTGGATGATGGTGATGATGCTACACTGGATCTCCACCGTGCTCTCTCTCTTCTGTCAACTAACTCGTCGTCGTGGGGCTCATGCGAACAGCAGAGATCATCGACGATAGCTTCACTTGAAGCTGCTCACGCAAGCCCTGCAGCAAGTATGCCGCAGCAGTCCCTCTTCCGGTTGCCTCGCATGGAACTGCAGTCAGTTGAGCCTCGGCTCCACTCTTCCCAGTCTGCTTATGTCTGCGATTACTCTCATCAGTCTCAGCCACAGCAACTCTTGAGAGACCCATATGCTGCTGAGCTCAGTCCTGGTCAGTTGTGATTATCCGACATGCGTGAAGTCGTATCACAGTTTCCATCGAAACTGAAGGGACACTGTGTTCTGCTTCTGGCCAGCGCGCAATGCAAGTCTGATGCAGCCTAATTTTCACAGCCGGGTGAAATACTGAAACGGGAAAGACACGAGAGGGGTGATGGTTATTCAAGCCGAAGTATCAGTCAAACGATTCTGCTAACTTAGCACCGTGGATGGCTGTAGGATCATCTTTTGCGTGTAATGAACGTTTTGTGTTTTCTACTCATTTGCTCAGTTGCAAAATTTAGGACACTTTCCTTCATGTGCAAGAAATCGGGATTTGGTTGATCTTCAACAGCCACGAACTTTAATAAATGGTAAGAACAATTAGTTATTAGCCCCCTATGATTGGACTCTTTTATTTACCTCAAACCTTGGTTGGACGCAAAAGCTCCAACCAACCACTGTATGTCAGTTTCTTATTAGTGAGTTTATTCCTCACTGTATTTCCCCTATCGAGGATGGTCTTTGTTTAGATATCGTCAGCCTCGCAGGCTGGACAAAGACATTTTCCTACATCACTCGTCCAACTCTATTCTCGATTTCTTATTTAACTCTAATACAGTTATAAGTAATTGAGTTATTTCTCTGATAATTTAGCTCTATTAATCATGCCAACCCTAGACAAATGAACGTAAGAATTTTACTTTGCCTTGATTGATACCATGGGGGAAATCAATAATGTGGCAATCGTAGAATTAATTTAGCCAAGATATGTGGGTAAAACAATTATATTGTGTCATAGTTTCCCATTTTCTGTGATGATTTGATTCGCCTAATCTGAAGTAAGATCATCCTTTTGCCGATGTTCACTATCTACAAGAGTACTATCAATAGAATGTTGAGTTAAATCATTGCTTGATTACATCGTCTAAATCAAAGTATCAAAAAACATAATGGATTGAAACAAATTAGTAACTTTTACCCCAAAAAAAAAAACATAATCTATATTCTATTTTTGTCGAACTTGAAACTAAAAGAGGAAATAGTGACAAAAATGCAACAATTTCGAAAGAGACAGAGGGCGAAAGCATCAATATCAAGTTCAACAGAATAAAACATCACCCTGTAGAAATTAGTAGAAAATGACATCTTAGTCTGATTGGCAAGTGGCGACTATTTCGAAGGAAGAGACATAGAGGTCTTATGTCTAAGAGAGACAGATGCGCAAGTAGAGAGTAATCACAAAAACAAAGTTGTCTTTCCCTTTGTGGATTGGCGACTATGGCTGACTAGCATGCGACAAGGATTCTGTTTAGCAGGGCCGTGGCGGAGGGAGCAGTAGGCAAGACCGACGCCAACAAGCCAACTGATAGTGGCGAGGCTGCTCATTAGGGGTGTCGGTTCGGTTCGGGTTCGGTTACCCAAACCGAAACCCGAAAAAACCCGAAAACCCGAAACCGGAAATCATCAAAACCGAAACCCGAAAACCCAAACACTTAAAAATACGGGCTGAGTTCTATTCATTGGAGATTTTTATCCGGAACCCAAAAAACCGATAAGCAAAACCGAACCCAAAATCGAAAAACCCAAAACCCAAAACGAACCCGAACCCGAAAAACCGAAATTGTATATAATCGGGTCGGTTTCGGGTAAACCCGAAAAACCGAACCCGAATGGACACCCCTACTGCTCATAGAGGCTAGGGGAGTTGGTCGTCACTGTCGCAACTATGAGTAGAGTTCAACTGGTCGGGCTCGAGCAAAAAAAATTAAGATTGAGAACAGATATTGTGAAATGGGGGGAGGAAGAAATAAAAATGACGACGTTTTAGGTTTGGCCTAACACTCGATCAACCAAACCAATTGATTTCTCCCATTTTGATCAAGTTTGATCGGCTCCAAGCAAACTCTCTGTTGGGTTGCTATTCCATGCTTGGAACAACTTATTTAGGCCAAGGCGAATAGGCGATTCGACTGACCGACTCGCCCACAGGTTGACGAGTTTGCACCAGCAATAGATGTGTCTTTGTATGGTAGAAGGGGATAGCTTCAAACCTTCTCAGTTTGGCACTATTAGCTTTGCCAAAAGATCGCTATATATGAAGAAATTTTGTGAACCTTCCAAGTTCCAACCAATTGTGATGGAAGCAAAAACAAGGCCCAGACTTATTGAGCAACATGCCTAAATCAACCGGCCCCATTACATAAAATGTTTTCAACCATCATCTAAAGAAAACACCAATGCAGAAGATAAAATCACACACGAGGCTTTGACTATGATGGAACTCAACAACATACATGCATACGAAGGTATCTAGAAATGCATCCACCCCTATGAACCAGTGCTAAATGGAGAACTAAATCAACAAGCAAGGAACATAGAAAAGTAGAGATTCTTATCTCTTTGGGTTACTAAGGGCTCGTTTGGAAGTTGTGATTTCAAATGATGTATTGATCTAAGTATTTGTGAGATTAAGTCGTTTTTTTGGTTTATATAGAACTAGAATACATGCATTTACTTTCTGGAGGCCCCACCACAATCACTCAATATTGAATGTTTTACAATCTCTACTATTTGTTGAGATTCTTCACAATCACTCAATACTAAGGGGTCGTTTGGAGGTTGAGATTTGAAGTGAGGTATTTAGCAAATACATGTAATGATAAGATTAAGTCGTTTTTTTTGATTCACTTTGAGTTAGAATGCATGCATTACCTTTTTGTTGGGCCCACCTACAATCACTCAAAATGAATGATTATAAATCTCTACTAAAAGGTGAGATTGTTAACGAGGGATTGTCTACCCTACTTTTTGTTTCATCATTGCCCTTCCAAACAAAGTATTTTCCTAATACATGCATTGAATCAATACATCAAATAATAATACAGTAATTGACCTAATACATCAATTTGAAAAATCACAACTTCCAAACGACCCCTAACTTTTTTACTTTTGGAACAAAAACCCAATCTAAACCTCCAAACAAGATATTTACATCAATTGAATCAATCCATCAAATAATAATACACTAATTTTCCCAATACAGCAATTTAAAAAATCACAACTTCCAAACAAAGGGTACATTTGGAAGTTGTGATTCCACGAATATTTGATTATTGGAATGCATATGTTGTAATACAGTAATAATCATACACATGATTGGCTGCGAGCGTTGACCCCAGCCACTCATTTAACAGTCAACTTCTAGAGTTGATCGCCGCATAAGCAAAAGCTAACGGAGTTGGACGAAGTGTGACGTGAACGATTTCAATAAACTGAAGTACCACCAATGGATTTAAATATTTCGAGTGACCAAACTTTTAATCTCAATGACCAACCATCAGTTAACCCAACTTCCATTCTACCAATTCAAGTGAATAAAACTAGAGCATACTAATTGCATACATGCCGACTAAGCATTAACACAAAAACCCACCGTTGCATGGCTGCATCTCACAATGTAGTACCCATACTTTTAAGACTTTATGAACAGGCCCTCGAACGTAACAAATACACCAAAATACCTTGAACACCATATCAAATCATTTTCAAGAGCATTGATTCTCAAAGAAACACAACCCTGCCACCTCTAGCCTAGCCATCGACTGTGTACTTACCACAACTAAGCAACTTCACGCCAAGTCTCTAACCAAATATGGGAGCAACGGAATTCTGCTTCTATCAGAAGCATCTAGTCAAACAAACGATACCAAATGTGGACACATATCTTAACGGATAGAACATGTATCCTTTCAGTAAACTAACTTCATGGAAGCATACCCACTATAAGTTAGATGAATTGATTCAAAGATACAAAACGCCTAACTACTGAAAACCACCAACCAACCTGTAGCAATATTCCCAGACCAATCTGACGGACACATGACGCACCAAAGGACTGAAAGATAACATAGGAACCGATACAACAACTCAACAGACGACACCATGAGAAGGAAGAGTAACCCGACGACGACAACTGCCACACCATGAGGACGACGACAAGACTCTGACTTTCAGACACCCATACGAGAGCAACGCTGGACGACAACTGTGGACCTTCTCAAACATGTCCCTAGTACTCACTGGAACAGTAGATAAATCACAAATCAATGGTTGCAGAAGATTGCAGGGGAAAATAAAAGTAACTAAGCAACAGAAAAACGGGAAAATATGAAGAGGAGGGGATCTGAAGAGTGGACAGAAAGAAACAATCTTCTCGCAAATCTTCATTGAGTTATTGAAAGGTACACTGGAAACTAATGAAACTAACATAATCTGGGTGCAAACGAGATTAATCACAACACAAACCTGCTCATTCTCTTCAGCTGCAGGTGAAGGGGACTTCTGTGTCTCCACTGGTTTCTCAGCCCCACAATTCGGTCTATTACACTTAGTTCGGAATGGATAGTTAATGTTGTTGCATTTTTCACATTTCCAACTTCCCTCCGGCATCTTTTGTTCTGAAATATTAGTCAGACATCAGTAACATACTACTACAGGTATAAGCATGCATAAAAATGTAGTTTTGATTGAAAGGGCTTACTTGAATTTTTATCAGACTTTGCAGGCTGCAGTCAAGAGGACACAAGAATCAGAAATGATGCTCGAGAATGTATAAAGAGAAGCCACATATAAGGCCTAGTAGCAACTATCAACTATGCCAATTATGGTGGAGAATATAGTGATCCTCAATACAGAAAATAAAGGGAAACCACAACTGACAAGAACATAATTTACCAACTAGGCATTATAAAATAACTAAATGGAATTTCAGCACAAACCTGGGAACCTGGCTTGGGTGTATTGCACTTCCGCATGTTACAAACAGTTCTAAAGGAGAAGTTTATGTTTCCACATTTTGGACAGGACCAGTCGTTATCACGTGTAGCATCTTCAAACAAAAAACAAAGTCCGAATTTAGCAATAGAATAGCATCTTATCAATCCGAGAAAAAAGAAAAGTCAAATATCAAGCCTGTACCATTTTTCTGAGTCTTGTCCTCAGGGAAAAAAGTTGGCCTCGGCCCCTGGGAAAATCAAACACAGATATGTGAATATGGGGATTCAAACAACCGAACAGTAAGTGCATATCTGCGAATTTGAACTGCAAACGAAGTAGTCGTTATTGAATTGGCTAGCCATGTAGCAAGAGTAAATTATTAAATCCAATCAACAGTAAGTTGCCGGTCTACCCAATTAGGGAAACAGGTTACAGACACCATATAAGCTGCAAGCAATTGCCGTAATCTTTTATCAATATGTACTATCATCACAAGCACATGGTATAACAATAGAGCATAAAAGAAAGACATCCCAACCGACACTCTTATGTCACATACAAATTCCTGATCCAGGACCTACTTAACATACCATAGCAGCAGGGGCCATCGGCATGCCCATCCCGTAACGGTCCATCATGGGTGGGGGCATTCCATACATACCACCTGAAATTAAAAGCAAGTATTAAAAGCTATAATATGAAGTAATCCATGCAGACTATAATAAGGACATGGATCATATAAATGTCACCTTCTCAGGGACCATAAAATGATTCCAAATTAGGATTGAAATTTGAAGGCAAAAAGCAAGGAAACATGACACACCATTCCCCATCATAGATCCACCAGAATAAGGCGGTGGTGTAGATATGTGGAGTGGCCTATAAGGGCTTCCAGCAGACATTCGACTACCATAATTGTAAGGATATGCAGAACCCCCAGAATATGGTGCTTCGTATGGAGGAAGAGACGATCCATTGAACATAGAAGACCCGTACGGAGGCACACCCATATACATTGAAGATGGTGCCCCAGATCCTACATAGGGAGGTGCAGCAGAGTAATGCTGAGGGGGCTGCAGAGGCTTGGGAGCAGACTTCTGTAATGATTAAAAAAACAGTCTAGACTGTGAATAACAATAACTAATAATAAAATAAAGAAAAAGCTGGGATTCCAAAAGAGCCAGTAACATTCTAACTTGAACACATTATGGTTCAGACACCAGAGACTGTACTAGAAACAACATTTGAAAAAGGATGTCCAAAAGATAAGTCATCCCAAAACATTCTGCATCACCATCTTTTGTCCCTTGAGTAGCATATAGCTTATTCTAGGCATACTAAACCCAAAGCACTCTAAGAGAGAAACAGAAATGGATTCCAACCGAACACTTTTCAAATTCATATTAAAGGGTAGATAGTATGGAACTCTCATTCCTTCTATAGTACTTTCAGATATTATTGCACATACACTAATAATTCTACTTTGCTCATACAAGATAGGCAATTGGATTTTCTTTTCCATTTTTCCTTTAATGGTTCATATTGATAAAAAGTAAGAAATTGAGTTCCATTAAAACGAATAACTTTGCCTAAAAGATTTTACATAAGTTATACAAGTGCATAAACAGTAGGAACTGGACTAAATGTAATTGCAATCACGTTCAGTTGTTGTAACTACATGTCAACTAGATGATACTACAACAAGAAAAAGAGCATCATAAGAACAGCTTACCGAGTTATGATCTGCTGGCCTCGGTTGGGTGCAATTACGCATGTTGCAAGTTGTCCTGAACGAGAAATTGACATTGCCACAGCTCGGACAGGTCCAATCATCTTCCCTGCGACTGCCTATAAAAGACCAGAAAACAAAAACCAAGCAAAAGAACACAGACTTCAGCATTGCATTGCATCACATCTTCACATTCTCCCATTCAAATATCAGGCGGAGAATGCAAAAAAGAAGAAGGATAGCAACCACATACCATCAGTTCTAGCACGCTTGGTCGCTGAGGAATTCCTATTATCCACCTGAACACCAATACCCAAACGAAAAAAAAAAAAACTTCAATCGCCAACATCGAATACCAATTCAACAATCAGAAAACACCAAAAAAAAAAAACACCCATGGCTAAACGATCTCGAAATACAGAATCCATAGCGACCTAAGCCAAATCGATTCAAATCCATTGGCATGAACACCCTGAATTGCGCCTCCCGTTGTTCAATCGAGACAAAAGTCCAACCAATCGCAAAAAACAAGCAGTAGGCGTAATCAATTGGAGATAACGAGTGCGAAGGAGGAGAAACCTGAGACATGGATCTTGGAAAGGTCGAACGAGGAGAGAGAAGAAAAGGAGGAAGGATCTTCGCAGCTAGGTTTTGCGAGGGAGCGACACCGCCGACTGAGCGAGTTGCAGATTTGCCCTACCGTGCTTCGTGAGCGCCCGCGTGAGAGAGAGATGTGAATGCTGAAGAGGCTCGACCGCTAGATGCGACGGTTTTCGATTTTACTTCTGTTCGCTTGTTGTGTTGTGTTAACTCGTAAGCTTTCCGGAACGGCGCGGACTGATTAGGTGGGGCCCCGTGAGTTGGATCCAAGGTTTTTTTTTTTTTACAAATAATACACTAAAATTGTATGTAACATCTTGAACCTTTTCCCGAATAAGATAATGTTGGCTTTGGGCCTCGACTCTCTCAGATTTCGACTTGGGATGACAATTCAAGGTGACTTCCCATAAGGTCACTCATTCTTGTTGTACTCCATACTTAGCACGTTTAACTTCAGAGTTATCACAAGAACTCCATTTCACCCCAACACGCGTCTTCTTAGTTAATGTCGGTTTCCTAATTATGAACTATGGATCTCTCCCGTGTTTTGATGATGTGGAATTTGCCTAAAGTGTTACATACACCCCCCCCCCTTTGGGACTCAACGCCCTTGTTGAGGTTTGCCCCACCGTCGTTCAAGAGGGGCACGAAGAGGCTCTAATACCACTTGTAACATCTCGAACCTTTTTTCGAGCAAGATATTGTCTGCTTTGAGCCTCGACCCTCACGAATTTTGACTTGTGGTGTAATTCAAGGTGACTTCTCATAAGGTCATTCATCCTTATTGTACTCCACACTTAGCACATTTAAGTTCAGAGTTCTCACAAGAACTCCTCAATTTCACTCCAAAATGCATCGTATCAGTTAAAGTCGGTTTCCTACTTATGAACAATTAACCAATCCGAATAAACTTTAGTTTGGTTAATTTGGTTGTTGTTTTAGTTTGGGCGGTTTGGTTATGATATTGTATTCCATGGTTAATAAAATTTATGCTTATTTGGTTTGGTAATTACCATGGTAACCATTTGAACACCCCTAGACTTATGTGTTGAAATATTTGATTTTATTATTGATGATGCATATTTATTATTTACATTAGGGGTGAAAAATAATTTAAAAAAGGGAGAAGAAATTAAAATATGTGAGAGCGGGGGGTGGTTTTCAAATTTCAAAGAGAAACTGTGCTTGGGGCGCGGTTTCTACGCATGGGACGCAAATCGAGGCCACGGTCGCGCGGATCGCTGATTTGGCTGGCGGACATTCGTTAGATCATGGGGGGATTTGACAGTCTGTCTGATCGCCACGTCCGCATGCGATTAGTGGGCGGAAGAACACAACTCGTGGCCCGTACGGTTTATTTTTAATGGTGGTATAATTAGAATTATTTCGAAAAGACTGGTATTTTTGGAATTGTTAAGTTTTAGGATAGTATTTCTGAAAAAAATTTCATTTTTGGTACTATCAAATACCTCATTGCACAGTGAGTTTTGGTTATTTATCAGTTCCTATTTACTGTGCTTGAATTGCTTCCAAATCATTACTAATGAGATCGACCATGCTTAGTGGGTACGTTTCTTATGATGGTGTATGTTGGTGATGTGATTCCCCTCGGCTAGGATTACCAAATTCCCCGATCGGGGAATGGGAGCAGAAGACCCCCCCACCCCGCAGTCATTTGGGATATGTCACAATATTACATGATCTCACAGAAGAGAGAATACAACTGAGGTATATGTCAACAGAAGATCAAACGACTGACATTTTGACTAAGACATTGGCTTCTAGCAGATACTGGTACCTATAATCCAAATCGATGTTCCGCACCCTACATCAATTTGATGGAGGGTGTTAAATTTTAGGTACCTTTATGTAATTGTATTTGCCTGAATCATTAGGGTTTGTATTGTCACCACTATATGTAGACTTGTGTATACCTGCTTTTGTAACTAGTAAGATTGACTTTGGAGGATTTAAACTCTCTCATAAACTAGTCCGGATATTCAGAGAAACCAAGTTAAACCTTGTGTTCTTGTTGTTGATTTATTTTGACAAGCTTTACATGAAATGTTGCGCAGACGAAGCAGGGTTTGGTTTGCTGGCAGGCAACCTTAATTAGGGGTGTACATGGGTCGGGTGGTTCGAGTTTAGTCAGTTTAATCACCCGACCCCGACCCATGCACTACGGTTTGGGAAATATCAAACCTAAACCCACCCAAAAAAAATTAAACCCTACGGTTTGTTTCTAATTGGGTTGGGTCGGGTTGGCGATATTTTTAAGTAAAAACCCAACCCAACATAAAATATATAATTATTCTATATCATAAAAATATTTTATAACCAATTAAAATTTCAAACGAATGAACCGAGGTGAAAGGTATCAAAATTCACAAATGTTGTTTGAATTTTAATAAAATGTGATCTACTTCAACATATTCTTGTTTTTTTCACAATATTTGTTGAAATAGGCTAAAAATGTTATAAACAAACGCATCCATAATATGTTATTGTATTAAAATTGTTCACAAGAAAAAAGATTACGTGAATCATAACTATATTCAATTTATGTCTAAACTTTAAGTCGAAGAATGCATTAGATTAGGGAGACCATGAGAGAAAAATATGCCGAAATATCTTAATTTTCTCATAAGTATATGACTATATACGACATAAATATTTTTAGATCCGAACTCATACTAATAGTTGGAACACGGGTTGGGTCGGGTTCTACGGGTTGTGTAATCCAAAATCCAAACCCAACCCAAAAGAGCCGGGTTGTACAAAAGAAAACTCTCACCCAACCCAAAACCTTCGTTTTAGCGATAAATACGGGTGGGTTGGGTCGGGTGGGTCGGTTTGCGGGTGTGTTTGTTCACCCCTAACCTTAATTAGATGATGAGTTTTGGAAGAGTCATTCAAGCATTCGGCCGATAATTAAATTTCAGTGTATGGAAGCATTCTCGGAATGTGTTAAGGTGATAACTAAAATTCTAGTAGCCACCGTGGCTACATCATTATCTCCCGTCCATTTTTATTTTTTTCCATTTTTTTAATCTCATGGTTAAAATTACGCCAGGGTAATTTTGGACACGAAAAAGTGTCATCACCCAATTATTCTATATATTCTACCCAAACCCTATTTCTATACTCCCCTCCCTCCAACCAAACCCTACTTTAGGCGGCTGTCAACTGCCGGCTGCCCGCCCTCCATCCCTCTCCCCTCCGGCCACCTCCTTCGCCGGCCATCCCTCCCTCCCGACCCCCTCTTTTCCTTCCCATCCGTTCTTCCTCTGCAGTAGAACCTCCCCACTAATATATACCTAAAATCCAATTCCCTTCCCTCCTCTCTCTCCTTCTCCTTTTATGTTCTTCTTCAGTAAAAGTGACGAATGGGATAAAGAATTTTTTTTTTTTTGGAATTTGACTGAAAGAACAAAACAACTGATTTTTTATTGGTGTGTACTTTCTCGCATTGGTATTGTTTTTTCCCGTAATTGTAGTGATTTTTCGCATTGTTATTGTTTTTTCGCATTTGTAATGATTATCATCTAAGGGTATCTCTCTTTTGTGAAATGGTAGTGATTTTTTTTTGTAGTGGTAGTGTTTATTCGCATTGATATTGTTTTTTTTTTTGTATTGATATTGATTATCATGTAATGATATTGATTTGAATGTATTGCTCTATGGTGAGATCTGCAATGGTATTGGTGTTTTGTGAAATGATAGTGATTTTATTTTCGAATGGTATTTATGTTTTGTGCAATGATAGCATTTTTAATGGATTGGTATTAATTTATTGTTTTATTGTAGTGGAATTATTTTTTTGGTATTGATATTATTGTATTGGTATTGATATTGATATTCATGTATTGTTATTAGTTAAATGTGCAATGGAATTGGTTAATATATCAGAGTTATTATGTTGTGGTAGTGGTAGTTTTTTTTAATGTTTTGGTATTGTTTTCTTGTTTTTATCTATAATGATATAAGTGTTTTTCGAAAGGTAGTGGTTGCCTAATGGATTGATAGTGTTTTTTTTTTTTTTTTTTTTTTTGCAGAAAGATGGAGAAAAATAAGAAAGGAGATCTGGCTGGAGATCATGAAAGTGAGAGAAAGAGAGATAACTGTAATTAATAGATTTTTGTAAAATATATTTTGTTAAAAAAATCATTAATGCAATTTACTTTTCCATACCCAATTTACCCTTAGTAACTTCGTAGTAATCACCATAACCCCTCTCAAGCATTCTCATGTGTCTTACATGAGATCTAATCAGGTTAGGGAGACACAGGTGCAGGGTTGTCGACATACTAGTTCAAAAATTAGGTGGTAAATTGAGACCAAAATGAAGTAGCAAGCGAAAAAACCATTCAGTCAATGAACCCATTGGTCCCATTGTGTACTAATTAATGCACCCACACCACACACATGAATTCAGACCTTCATTCCAAACCGCAAAGCAGAGAGCTAGACTAAAACCGCAAAACAAATAACTCCAGCACATAACAAGATACTGAACAAGATCATCATCATCACCACCAAACTTTGGTCTAAAACCAACTCCACAAAAAGACAGAGAAGCAAACATGGATGGAACACAAAAAAAAAGCCGAAACTACTAAACGCGTAGTTGATATTGATGATGATTTGAGTGCCTCTGTTTCAGAAGGGACTAAGCCCAAACCGGCCCGACCACCAAACCGTAGAGGAACACCACAGCTACCCCCAAAGAACCAGCGGTGAAGAACGCTCCGCCGCGGAATCCCCCCGACCCCGACCCCGGCAGCGGTGTCGCCGTCGTGGTCGGCGTCGATGTGGTCGGTGTCCCGGTCGCCGACGAGACGTTTGTGAAAATGGCAGCGTCCGGCGAGTTCGGCGCTAAGCCGAGCAGACCTGTTATCACCAATCAAAACAAAAAAAAATTAAATTAAAGAACTCGAATTCATCGATTAGTTTAGTCATATAAACACTTAAACTACTGATTAATTTGGATCGTTACGAGGGCAGTTGGCGAGGCTGGCGTTCTGGAGCTGGCAGGCGGTGGGGAGCTGGATGAGCTTGTTCTCCTGGACCCCGAGGCTGCGGAACTGGGCGCTGCCGTTGTGGGTGAGCTGCATGATGTAGCAGAGGCACTCGGGCTCGTTGTCCTTGGTGTTCTTGGTGGAGGCGCAGCATTCTTTGGAAGGGGAGCTCTGTTTCCCCTGCGCGAAACCCAGGCACGTCATCACGCTCTGGAAGTCCTTGGCGCACTTCGTCGCCAAGTTGTCAGGGGCGCCGCCATCGCCGGCGGCGGCGAGGAAGAGCAGGAAGGCGGTCAAGGAAACGCAGAGCAGCGGGGAAGTTTGCATCTTTGTGATTAGTGTTGTGTGTGTGTTTCTCTCTCTCTCTAGGGTGATCAAAATGAGGGAAGTATGTTGTGGGAGGAAGTGAAGGGGAGAGCCGGTGGCAGCTTTGTGAGCTATATAAGTAGTTTTTATGGTGCTAGTTTGGATGGGAGTTGGGTTTCGAGTTATTGTATGACGGGATGGGACTTTGTGAGCTAGGGTGGGGAAAAGACGGGACACGGTCGAGAGAGTTAGAGTTCGAGAAAATTGGTGTAAGATAGTAGTGAAAATAAAGAGATATACAAATTACAAGGGTGAAAGGTTTCATTTTATTTGGCCGTTATGGTTATGATCTTGATTGGATTTTATTTTCATTCGGATATGCTTGGATGGGTACCACTTATGGGGTGATATAGTCATTAGGATCATACTTTGTGTGCTATAATCTTGATCGTAGGAAGTACGATCGCAGTTTCATGTGTGCTACAACTCAGACGTCACAAAGGCTAGGATACTCCGTTTCACCTGCTACTAAAGAGCTCACACTTCCGCGATGGATCAAACTCGAGTTTTGGGGGATCACACATACAACCAGCGTTTCCGTTAGGCTATACGTCCTCATTCGCAAATAAAAAAATCAAGAACATATTTGTAGACAAGAGATTGAGAGGAGAACTCAGTCGTGTATATACCAATCAGCTTTGTTTGACGTATCGTTTCACATTTCAAGTCTTATCTAAAATAGAAGTAGCTCAGACGGTTAGCCGATTCGTAAGTCAACTGTAATTAATTGATACATAGGACAACTTCACTCTTTTACAAACTAACTTTATAAATTCTTTCATTTTTTTTTCTTCTCTCGTTATGATCAAAATCAATATCAATTTCTCCTCCTTTTTAGCGTTCCTACATAGTATCGGACCAGTAGAATCGAGTTCTGCTCGTTCGGTCGTTGATTTCTCTCGGATTTCTGTGTCATACGACGTAAATTGAATCGGTATAGAAACAAGTTAACAATTAAGAAAGGACTTCATGTATGCTACCTACTTACCTATACGTTTTGTTGGTGATCCCAATTCCCCAAGATTTGACCGTTCAAATACAATAATTTTGGCCACCATGCATTCATGAGTCCAGGGTTTTAGATCAAATGGTTTGTCCACTTGCTAGCATTGGCAATATTGGGTTGTAGGGTTTTCCGTTTCCATTAAAGAAGGGGTTAGATGGGAGAGTGAGGGTGAGGCGAGGGGTGGCTGAGGGTCTTTGATTGCGAGATAGTGAGAGGCGGTGGCTTTTAATGCTAGTAGTTGGGGAACTTAAGGGGCGGATGGTGGTGGCCGTAAAGGCCGACTTAATTAATAATGAAGTATGTATATATGTAACCTATCACACACAGAAAAGGATCGACGCAAGTTAGTACTATTCCACTATACTATACTATTGTGCCAGGACGAACCATCCCACTTTTTGATGCTATACTCAGCTAGCTAGCTAGGGTAAAGCATATCATAAATACGCTTCCAACTGTCCACGAAAATGAAAGAAGCTTCAAAAACGAGTAAGAAAGACAGCAAATTGAATTATTCGAGATGTGAATTAACTAGCTAGATCGGTTATCAGTGTGTATATAGGGATGGCAATGGGTAGGGTCGGGTTCGGGTTTATCCTATACCAACTCCTAACCCGCTGGGGAGAGCCTTCTAAAATACCCGACCAAATAACAACCGGGTATGAAAATTATATAACCATACCCTACCCACATAGGCGGAGGCAGGCTACTTTGAATGTGTCCTAGGACACAGGTGAAATTTGGGGTAGAGAAATAATAACCATATGTGTATCAAGTTAGGGTGGAAATTGGTACGGTATTTGGTATCGGAATACCAATACCGAAATCTTAAATACTGAATTACATCCTAAAGTTAATGTCAATCTCAATCCCTGAATAATTTCGATATCTCAATCCCTAAATAATTTGGTATCAAAATCGATATTATCGAATACAAAATTAATTACCTTTGCAGTTAATAATTAAATATATAAATTAAATTTAATTGTTTAATTTAGGGCAAAGAGACTAAGCAACGAGTATTGAGTTTGCCTATAGCTAGGATATGGATAAAGAGAATGGAGGAGAGGCGACATCTCAAATTCTTGTCATTGGTAATCTTTATATGACGTATTGGAGGCTGAGAGACGACTAATACTAGTGTTTGTTTTTTGGAGTTATGAAAATAACAAGAGATTAGGTGAGTGACGAGAGTGACTTAGACTGGAAAGTCAAAATTGTGTTGGATGGGGGCTTCTAAGTTGTGAAAGAGTGAGGAATGACCTAAGGTTGTGTGGTATATTTCATTAATTTTTAACTTTCGATATTTCGGTATATACCGGCCCCAATCTCGTAATCCCGAATACCGAATAACACTTGAAAATGAATCCCAATCCCAATTCCTGAAAAATAAGCCGGTATTCGATAATACCTGATAGTAATAAATTCGATACGGTATACAGTATATCCCAAATACAGGTACCAAACTTCGAGCCCTATATCAAGTATTGAACCCTTGACTTTTTGGATAATGAATAAGTATCATATCACTACACTAAAGATTATTTCTTGTTTATTTTCAATTTTATTAATTTTAATTTTATTAATTTATATTCTGAGAAGAGGACACAGGTATGTTTGAATCCTGGCTTCGCCACTGCCTACCCACCAGGTAACCACGGGTATTCGGGTAACCATGGGTACGAATCCTAAACTATGAACTTATACACATATATGCACATGCATACTATTGTCCATTAAAAATTCTCAATAGTTGTAACTGTTGTAGCTTCAACAATCCACACAAATAAAAACAGCAAACACATAATAATTGTTCTTGCTTCTACAATCCACACAAACATAATAATCGTCTACATCTTCATCATCAATAATGGTAGTTAAACTCAATTTCTCAAGGGAAATTGATCATTTGGTTAACGAGGCGGGTATAACGGGGCGTTTTTTATCGATTACCATACCCGTACCCTACCCTTTATTTTGAAACCGGGTATTACCCATACCCGCCCCTTAACCCGTCAAAGCGGGTAATTACCAGGGACGGAGCCAGCGTGGCCCCCCCTAAAAATTAAATTCCAACTTTGCACCACTAGCATACTACACAAGCCGTGGTCTAGTGGTGAGTAGCGTTGCTTTTACAGGGGAGGTCCAAGGTTCGACGCCTGCTAGGCTACAGCTTCTAATTTTGTAACATTTTGCTTCCTTACGATTAGGTACCTTATTTTTCATTTTCGTACATCTTTTGCCCACTATCTTACGATTTTCTACCTAAAATTTGCATGAATCGTAAGCTAGGCATGTGTCAATATTTTAGTAACTAAGTTTTCCAGTTTAGTAGTTTTTTGCCCATCGTCTTACTTAAAAGGTGTACCAAACGTTTTCATTTTAGTACACCTTTTGTCCCAAATTTCGTATGCCTTACGATTTAGTAACTAAGTTTTCCAGTTTAGTAGTTTTTTGCCCATCGTCTTACTTAAAAGGTGTACCAAACGTTTTCATTTTAGTACACCTTTTGTCCCAAATTTCGTATGCCTTACGATTTAGTAACTAAGTTTTCCAGTTTAGTAGTTTTTTACCCATCGTCTTACTTTGTATCAGACTTTCTCATCTCCAACCTTTCTATACAAAGTTCTTCTACTAGTTAAAAATAGACTTCTATGTGTCAATTTTTTGATAATGTGTGTTGAACTATTAAATAACATAATAAACTCTTACTTCAAAATTTTTATCCCCCCCCCTACCTAAATTCCTGGCTCCGTCCCTGGTAATTACCCTGGTTGACCGGTTACGGTCGGGTAGGGTACCCATGGTTACGGATTGGATTGACATCCCTATGTGTATATTACGTGCATGCAGATGGGGTCGGTCACATTCTTAAACTAGAGAGAGAGGTTGTCTTGATCCGGAACGAAATGGACACGTACATATGCATGAGTTATTCGATGTTTGCTTTGATAAAGTAATTGGATATTTTGCTTTTGGTCTATGAGACGTGGCGGAGTTAGAAATTCAAATTAGAGGGGGAGACTGGGGGGAGGGGCGCTAAAGCCTTACCGACTATTCCAAATTCTAAATTTGTGAAAATTTTACATGTAATTTTATTTATATTTTAAACTTGAGTCGGAGGGTCCTGCATCGCTTGTTAGATTCAACCTAACTCCACCACTGCCTACGAAGGAGGCTATCTTATTAGGTCAAGATTAGAAGATACACCAAATTAATTAGAGATTTCAATTGCATGACTGTTGAGTTGTAGTTTCATTAGATTAGGGGTAATTCAAATTAATTAAGGAGTGTAGACCTAATGCTTTATATAGCTATATTTGGTTGCATGACTCTTGAACCAATCAGCGTGTTTAGAGGAGTATTGAGTGCATAAATTTTGACTTGATTACGAAGCTTTGTGATCTCCTTGCATTATATACGAGTAGGGGGGATTACATGAGATTTTCGTATAATTTGAGTATATCATAAGGTACTTGCACTTTATTAGTAGCAGACATAATTACATCCAATAATCGACTAGCTAGATAGTAGCATAGTACACAATAGCATAGCAGTACACCGTATAATACGACGTTATGACCACATATTACTTTGTCAGAGAGAGTGGGTTTTATTTTCTATTTATTAATCAATATGATTTAATAATAAATCAATATACATCCGAATATGTCTCTACTAATCAGAACTATATTAGATAAAAGAGAATAAACATGTGTGTTCAAGATGAGATTGCTACGATGAAAACTCATAGACGGCAAGGAAGTGGTTAAAATTAATAAATGGATTTTTTTTAACAATTCAAATGATTGAGATCAGCTTGTTTATGAAATTGTATCAGAGTTGATTTGATCATAAAATCACGTGTTCAAATTCTCACAACCCTCAATATTACCAGTTGTCGGGACGGGGTAGTAAGTGCTAAGGTGACGTGTTTTAACTGATGCGTGGCTAAGATTTGGAGTAAATGTGTTGTGCCTTGTGAGCAAGGTTTAGGAAATCCTATCGTACCTGCCGGTCGAACCAGAAATGTCGGATACCGAACTCAAAATCATAGGTGATTTTTGCGGTTGGAAACGGTCCAATCACAATTAAACCACGATTTTAGTACAAAATATTCTATCACTTGCTTTTCCGCTATAACTTCCGTGACAATATGCTGAAACTTGCTTGTGGGCGA